GAACTCTGCACAACACTCTCCAAGGCCTTATTCAGTTCTTGTCTGCATCAAGAATGGAATATTTTCGGATTATGTTTTGCCAGTCACTAAAACAGGAGAAGAGAGAGAGAGAGAGAGAGAGAGAGAGAGAGAGAGAGAGAAGGGAGGAGTTCAGCCCTAAAAGCTTTCCAGTAGACAGAATTGATATTGATGCTGATGGGAGTTCCATGCACATAAGGCCTAAGATATTCCACTTTCCCAGAGGTCAGGCAGGTTTTACAACTTATTACACTTTCTTTTTGAATATCATCAGTCAAATGCTTGATCATTTCCCCAGAAAGTTGGGGGGGGGGAGGGTTGGGGCTTGACAACTTACTGGCAGCGTTGCCTTTCTAAAAAGGCAATCAGACTATTAGGCTGACAGCTTGCTTCCTATGTTCAAAGCAGCTACTTTTGTGCCGTTTGACCTCAGAATTTCAGCAGAACGTCCACTATTCGGTACTTCACCTATTATGGCTGCGAACCAATTCAGGAACCATGCACGTTAACCATAAACTCAGGTGTTGAGTTACGCTGGCTACGTGTAGCCAAACGGGACCAACGAGAAAGCAGAGCAAATGATCAGCACGCTCAGGAAAATGCCAAGGTTTGCAGAAGTTAAAATAATAATAAGGGGGAGGGGGCAGAACCCAAAAACAGTCCAATGGCAAATGCGGGGATGGAAGGAAGGGACGTAGGTGGGAATGGGAGTGGCAGTGGGATGAAGTACCTTGGTGAAAGGCATGGCTGGCTGGAAGCCTGAAGTGGAGTACTCCATATCCCAGAGTTTTGTTTCAGGCCCCACTGGTTTTGATTTGCTTAATTACCTCTTGTGATCTGTATTTGCCTAAACAATTAATTAAGTCAATGCAATCTGAATCTGTTTTGATCTGCAATGTGCTTTTGAGATGCTGAAGTGGTGCAAGGGGGTTATAATTACAGTAATACCTCTGGTTATGAACCGTCCTCCTTACACACGCTTTGGATTACGAGCTCCGCTAACCCAGAAGTAGATGCTCCTGGTTGCAAACGCTGCCCCGGGATGCGAGCAGAAGTCGCGTATCAGAGGCATGCACACAGCGGAAAACCCCATTAGCGAAAGCGCGCCTCAGGTTAAGAACGGTTTCGAGTTGAGAATGGATCTCCGGAACGAATTAAGTTTGTAACCAGAGGTACTACTGTATCCACTTGTTGAAAGGAAAGGCAATATTTTCTTTCACATCTCCTGTTACAGTCAACCGCCAGGACTACAGCAGTACAGTGTTAGAAACTCAGATATATAAGGACCCCTGACCATTAGGTCCAGTCGTGGCTGACTCTGGAGTTGCGGCACTCATCTCACTTTATTGGCCAAGGGAGCCGGAGAGCAGCTTCCGGGTCATGCGGCCAGCATGACTAAGCCGCTTATGGCGAACTAGAGCAGCGCACGGAAACGCCGTTTACCTTCCCACTGGAGGGGTACCTATTTATCTACTTGCACTTTGACGTGCTTTCGAACTGCTAGGTTGGCAGGAGCAGGGACCGAGCAACGGGAGCTCATCTCGTCACGGGGATTCGAACCGCCGACCTTCCGATCGGCAAGTCCTAGGCTCTGTGGTTTAACCCACAGCACCACCCGTGTCCCATCAGATATATAAACTAGGTGCCAAATGGCTCCTTAAACCAAGGTTATGGTCGCCAAAACGGAATGTCAAGTTGCCATTTTGGGGCAAGACAGCTCTGAAGTCTTAATTTTTCAAATGACGGACAGACTGTGGTGATTATCAGTTAAACATCCAGCTAGTTCAGAAGATAACCTTGATCTAGGTGAAGAACTTTGGGTCCTAGCTTACTTCTCAACCCTGCCTCTCACCTTGTCCTTTGGACCTGGCTTCTGGCTTGCTCTACAACTTCCTCCTCCTGGCTCCTGGCACACCTCAAGCTCAGCCCTGGCACAATGCCTTGTGGTCATGCTCCTTTGCCGTAGTTACTTGGCAAGACATTCGTAAGAGCTGCAAATGTTATACACACCTCAGCTGATGTGGTATCACTAAGAGAAACTATGTTTTCCCATTCCTTTCCCTCTAGGGACCATTTCGCTAAACAACTTCCATATGCTACATGAGCAACAGTGGGGGGGGGTGGCGGGGGGCAACGTTTTGCTTTTTAAAAAAACTATGCACCGCAACAGTGACAAAGAACGACTTATGTAAAATACGACTTTAGGCACTGTAATGCTTACATGCATTGTAGAGTCACACCTTTCCGCCCAAAGAATGAAATGAAAGATTTAGGCAGGATTCCATCTCGAAACCCCGCTGAAGTGGAATGATGAGGAAACCGTGTAACCGTGGCTTTGATCCAAAGAACATCAAGACCAGTGGGAGTCTGCAGTGCGCCGTTTTGCGCCGAGATGCAGAGGGGGATCAGGCCCTCAATAAAGCCAACCATTTCTCAAAGCTTTGTTTGAAGCCCCCATTCCTGGCAACGGTTCAACGTCTCAATAAAATCGCAGCACACTTAGAAATGAGCAAGAAGCTGAGATTCTTGGTGAGGTGCTGTCTCAAGCCAAACTCCAGCTGCTTCCACCTCACAACAGGAGCCTCAGTACTTGTATCAGATTGGCTGCCTCCTCTCTGATCTGTACAAGTTCCTCCGCCCTTGCAACCACACAGGGCCATGTGCATTCTGTCTGCCCTCTAGGCCATGGACAGGCAAACTAAGGCCCGGGGGCCGGATCCAGCCCAATGACCTTCTAAATCCGGCCTGCGGACGGTCCGGGAATCAGCGTGTTTTTACATGAGTAGAATGTGTTCTTTTATTTAAAATGCATCCCTGGGTTATTTGTGGGGCATAGGAATTCGTTCATTCCCCCCCCCCGCCCCAAATATAGTCCAGACCCCCACAAGAGATAAAGGAGGAATGTAAATAGCTTGTATATAATAGTAACAGAAATGCTTGTGCAACCAGTCAAGCAATACAGCAGTTCTTGACTGTGAATTTGAGTGTGACTTCTTGTCCTCTGCCTCCTGGGAAAACCTCTTCATACAAACAGTAAGGTTTTACTGAGGTGCCACCACACAAGCAACAAAGCTCAGCAGAAGTGTGTGGGCAGTAACCTCTGCCAGCATGGTGTAGTGGTTAAGAGCGGTAGACTCGTAATCTGGTGAACCGGGTTCGTGTCTCCGCTCCTCCACATGCAGCTGCTGGGTGACCTTGGGCTAGTCACACTTCTCTGAAGTCTCTCAGCCCCACTCACCTCACAGAGTGTTTGTTGTGGGGGAGGAAGGGAAAGGAGATTGTTAGCCGCTTTGAGACTCCTTCGGGTAGTGATAAAGCGGGATATCAAATCCAAACTCCTCCTCCTCCTCCTCCTCCTCTTCTTCTTCTTCTTCTTCCTCTGTCCCGTTCTGGTTCACGGGTGATCGAAGTCCCGGCAGGGGATGTCAAGACTGGGGGCAAGATGGCGGGGTGGGAGCAGGAACGGGGGTCCAGAAGCCAAGAGTCCGAAAGCCAGGAGTCTGAGGGTCAGAGAGTTGGGAGTCAAGAAGCCAAGGGTCCGAGGGTCAGGAAGCAAGGAGTCGCGAAGTCAGGGGTCCGAGGATCAAGAAGCAAGGCAGGGAACGTGTTGCTGTGGCAAAGAGCCGAAGGGAAATGCTGACCTTATAACCCTTCCCAGCTCTTGCCACCAGGTGCTGTGAGTTACCAATCGGCCTCACCTGTAAGGCCGCGCCTTGCCTCTTCAGAACAAACTTAGGAAGGCCCCAGTCCTGCGAAGCCCAACCGGTCACAGGGCCTGGCTCCTGCACGCACACCTGACAACCTCTAATATATTTGGCCACACTGAGAGTGACAGATGCATACTGCTCTGAGAAGAGACAAAATGCATCTGATTTTCCTGGCAGATTTAATAAGAGAGTATCATTTAGCGCTCTCTCTCTCTCTCTCTGTCTCTCTCTCTCTCTCTCTCTCTCACACACACACACACACTGCAGATGGGGATGACCGAATAAAAGACGAAACTGCGCAAAAAAAGAAGGTAGTAGCTGGCTTTGGTTACCCTATGGATTCATGGATGAGATAAATGTTGAACCAGGCATGGTGGCAGCTGGTCAGCGAATGCTGTAAGTCATCCAGCCTCACCTTCCCTCTGCTCAACAATCACACCTTTCTTCAGCATCCAGACTTCTCACATTTGTGGAGACAAAAAGGAAAATAAACAACGGCAGAAGCCTCTCAAAATCTGGTGCTGCACACATGGATGTCATGATAATATAACGGGTTTCATCCTGTTCAACGGTACCTCTGCTTATATCCCAGACCCATCGTATGTCCACTTCTATCTAATATTAAATTTTGCTGGGGAAATACTGTTGGGTAACGGGACGCGGGTGGCGCCGTGGGTAAAACAACAGAGCCTAGGACTTGCCGATCAGAAGGTCGGTGGTTCGAATCCCCGCGATGGGGTGAGTTCCCGTTGCTCGGTCCCAGCTCCTGCCAACCTAGCAGTTCAAAAGCATGTCAAAGTGCAAGTAGATAAATAGGTACCGCTCCAGCAGGAAGGTAAACAGCGTTTCCGTGCGCTGCTCTGGTTCGCCAGAAATGGCTTAGTCATGCTGGCCACATGACCCGGAAGCTGTACACCGGCTCCCTCAGCTAATAAAGCGAGTTGAGTGCCGCAACCCCAGAGTCGGTCACGATTGGACCTAATGGTCAGGGGTCCCTTTACCTTTTAAGAGGGACCTTGCAGAAAAATGTTGCATCAGGTTCCATCTAGCCAGCCACAAGCTCTTCCAGGATATTCCATCCCATACACAAAGACCGTTTCCCATCATCCTCCGCCTCTCGCATCAAAATCCTGCAGCCACTGAGCACTCTCAGTTGTCGTGTGCCACTCCAGTGCCAGATCCCACAGAATAAGGCTGAGCAGGAGATACAGAACCAGAGAGCTCCGAGTGAACCACTGGGGGTTAGAGGGTTAGAATGAATGATAATTAACTTACTTTTCTCTGGCGAAAGGTGTATCTTAGTTTGCCCCCTCACCAGCCTGCACGTCGAGCCATCTCCTGCACAGACCCCACAGTTGTCCTCTTTGGCGTTACTCCCGAGTTGCCGATCACAGCCAACCGCCTGCCAATGTCAACAGGACAGTCAGAAAAAGGGGCAAAGTTGTTACAGGCCTTCCCTCAGTTCCTTTAATAAAATAATAATAATGTTATCTCACTGAAAAATTGAAATTGCAGTATTTAAAAAAAAGAGGACTCAGATTTGCATATGTGTGTGTGTGTGTGTGTGTGTGTGTGTAAGCACGTACTATATCTAACCACAAAAGCAAATAACAGCACTTCACACAAGCTTGCACACACACACACACTGCCTTTCTGCCAAGGTACCCAAGGCGGTTTACAATTTTAAACTACTAAAACAAGTGATATAAAATGTAAGTTGGCTGGGCAGAGGGAGGAGGGGGCAGTTTTGCAGGAGAAGGCCTTGATGTTTTCTCCTGCTTCGCTTGTTCACTGGTCGAACCAGGGTCATCGTCTTCTTCTCATGCACACACACAAACATGTGTGTTTGTGTAAAATAACTGTTTTAATTTAAACAGAAGTCCCAGACTACTCGCCATAACAGGCAAGACAGTGAGTGGGTGACCCTGAGTGTGCCTCCTCAGTTTAATTCTCATGTGCTAACTGCAGATGGGAAACTTCAGAAGTCTTGCCCCTCTCTTATTAGCCCTCTGTATCTTTCTGCTAGGGACGCGGGTGGCGCTGTGGGTTAAACCAAAGAGCCTAGGGCTTGCTGATCAGAAGGTCGGCGGTTCGAATCCCCGCGACGGGGTGAGCTCTGGTTGCTCGGTCCCTGCTCCTGCCAACCTAGCAGTTTGAAAGCACGTCAAAGTGCAAGTAGATAAATAGGTACCGCTCTAGCAGGAAGGTAAACGGCGTTTCCGTGCGCTGCTCTGGTTTTGCCAGAAGCGGCTTAGTCATGCTGGTCACATGACCCGGAAGCTGTACACCGGCTCCCTCGGCCAATAAAGCGAGATGAGCGCCGCAACCCCAGAGTCAGTCACGACTGGACCTAATGGTCAGGGGTCCCTTTACCTTTTTATCTTTCTGCTGGACTTTAGACAGAGCAGGCCTTCGAAAACAGAACTGCCCTCTGACAGCCTTCAAGCCATTTAGCATATAAAGGATGTCTATATAAATAAACAATAAAAATAATAGTGTATCCTATGTAACGTGGCTGCTCTATAGGTTTCGTCCTCATTTGTTCAAAAGTGTGTCTTGATTCTCACATCTGAGCGGGGCTGGGGGTGGGGACGACTTTAAAACAACTATTCTCACGATAGCAGTCAAACCTATTTTGGTATTCCTGTCTCAGAAATATGGGGATTCCTTGTAAGCTGAATGCTATTCCCTCCAATGTAACTCTGAAGATATCTGTAACTCTGTTGTTTAGAGTTGCCTTTCATCACTTACTAACTTCAGAGGCAAGAAAGGCATTAGAATAACCTTAGTTCCCCATCCAAGCAGAATCCTGGCTTCAGATCAAGAATTAAGAACCCTTGGCTGGCTGCAAATCACAGTCCCATCACATACTCCCTTCCGTGGTACCAGTTTATTCAGTAATTTTACCTTTTTGGAAAACATAAGTGTACCAATTATTTTAAATTGAATTTTACTGAACTTTTTCAGACACCACAAACTAATTATATAAACAAAGCACAGCATATGGGGAGGGGGAGACCATTTGCTAGATGTGTGGGCCATTAAAATGCTTTCCTGAGCAGTTGTTAGTATCTCATTTTTGTATGATCTTACTAGTGAATCCCAATCTCCCTTTACCAACCATCCAGAAATGCATTTGCTCAGCCTATGAGGCCATTAACAGTGTCAAACACAAATTAAAAGTACAGATGATACAATCACCATAAAATGAAATTTCCATCAGGAAAACTTTTAATGGTGCTATCAATAAGCATGAATTCCTTTTACAAATCATGGCTTTTTTGTTTTGCAAATATCTTTCCTCAGCTTGCCTGCTGCCGCATTTTGCAGCTCTGCTTGGGAATAATAATAATAATAATAATAATAATAATAATAATAATAATAATTATTTATATCCCGCCCATCTGGCTGGGTTTCCCCAGCCACTCTGGGCGGTTTCCAACTGACTATTTAAAACAATACAGCAAAAACGATGTGCAGCTAAGCAACCATGCCTAAGATGTGCAACCATTCTTCTGATTTATGCTAGACTGCTTAGGGAGTGAACGCCTTTGATTTTCAATGGGGGAAATTATAAACAATTAAGCTTGTGATGGATAACATTCTACATGAAATGCAGAACTGCTGAGCTGCATCCAGTGCTCTCTGTTGGACTGGTGAGTTTTAATGGTGCACATAATTTCATTTATGAAGGATCTCGAAGCAATTTCACAATACAATTCAAACCCAGTGCTATTTTTCTAGAAAAAGAGGTGCTGGGACACACCATGATCGCCCCCCACCCCATGGTTCTCTTATAATGGCAATGGCACCCACCTGAGAGGTGCCGGAACTGAGTTCCAGTAAGTTCCAGCTGGGGGGAAAAACCCCTGTCCAAACCATATACAAGACAGGTGCATACATACTAATCAATTAAAACATAAACCCAAATATTAGGCTGACATTTTAGATCTGCAGTGTTCTTTCCCCCCCAAAAGGTACCAAATCTCAGATACACCCTGCCCTTGACACGTCTCATGACTCAGAATAATGAGGAGCACGTCAATGCATTGAAGAAAGATTGAACAGGACTGTGAGGTATAAGAGCCATGTGTTTTTTTAAATGCTTTTGTTTTTAAATGCTTTTGTTTTTTTCTTTTGTATTGTTTTGCTGTATTGTTGTTTTTATTGTATTTTTTTATTTTTGAAGTATTGTAATTTTTTATTGTTTGTTTTTCTTTTTTCTTCTGTAATTGTTAAACTTTAATAAATATCATTAAAATAAAAAAAAGAGCCATGTGGAAAGGGGCAGAGTTCAGCCAGAGATCCACTGGGTCGCCCTGAGCATAGCTCACTGCCTCAGCGCTTTCTTAACAATACTATTTAACCAAGTTGAGGGTTCAGAGTGCTTCACGTACATAATCTCAGTCATTACAGCCACCCTATAAATTAGGACGCGGGTGGCGCTGTGGGTTAACCCACAGAGCCTAGGACTTGACGGTCAGAAGTTCGGTGGTTTGAATCCCCGCGACGGGGTGAGCTCCCGTTGCTCGGTCCCAGCTCCTGCCAACCTAGCAGTTCGAAAGCACGTCAAAGTGCAAGTAGATATATAGGTACCGCTCCGGAGGGAAGGTAAACGGCATTTCCATGCACTGCTCTGGTTTGCCAGAAGCAGCTTAGTCATGCTGGCCACATGACCCGGAAGCTGTACGCCGGCTCCCTCGGCTAATAAAACGAGATGAGTGCCGCAAACCCAGAGTCGGTCACGACCGGACCTAATGGTCAGGGGTCCCTTTACCTTTGTAAAGTAGGCCACTGTTAGGTTTCCTCAGGTGGCAGGCTGATGTCAGGGAAACAATGACTGTTCTATGGCCACCTAGTGAGATTTGAACTGCAGAGCTGTTGGCTCATAGCACACATACTTTACCCTCCACGCTACGCCAGTATACATGACATTAAAGCGACAGCATTGCGAGCTTGGAGCTGTCCGTCGAAACACCAATACTGGACAAACACAACCCTACTATATTTCAGCGAAGCCTAGGTTCATTCTGTTCCCACTTAAGTTAATGGGAGCCTTGCCATCAATTTAGCGACAGCAAGATTGGCAAGAAGAAAACAGACCCTAAGCCTAAACAGCCTGCAGTGACAGACTGTGTGTTACCGCAACAATGCAGCCTTTGCAGTGTGTGGCACAGAGCACAACAATTATGGGAACACAGCATTTCCCTTCCCCGTTCCACAGCATCTTGGAAAGGGTTTTCTGTGCACACATGACATTCATTACTGGAGGACGAGCGAATGAATATTCACAGCAAAGGGAGAGGCCACCAACATTCCAATATGGGAGATTCCCACTCTTGAAAAGCGAAACCTCCCATTGCTTAGTCCAAGGTTGGACTTGCTCCGCAGGAGTTTTATCGCAGCTTTTGCCTGTTTCGTTATCAAGGAGAAGCCACTGAATTTCAGGTTAACAGAAAGGTAAGCAAGCAAACGTTAGTGACAAACCATAGGATTCTGCTAGATGAGGAATTCTGAATAACTCCAAAGTCTGCAAAGTTCTAGATATTCCACAATTAATTGTCGCACGGCCAGTTTCCTTCATCACTCGCTTTCTTTCCTTTGAACTTGTGAATGGGCTCTGAAATATTTCTATGAAATGAGTTGTGCAATTAGTTGTGTGATCAGCAGATGAACCTCCAGATCCTTGTTTTTGAAACTAAAAATGCTCCTTTCAAACCGATGGCTTCCTACATGATGCATAGTGGCTGGATTATGTTTAGTCCCAAGATTCTTTGGAGGACGCCTATATAAACCTTTCTTCTGGGGGCCTTCTCACGCATCCTGAGAGTGTTTTTCAAGGAGTCTGGAAAGCCTGCTGCCAAAGAGATAAACATCTGCAAAGAGGGATTCAAAAAACCACTTTCCTACTTTTCCGCTAGGAGAAGAAGCACAGCACTTTCCCACTCGGAAAAACAGCTTTCCCAGGGTATCAAAATTACTTTCTTCTTCAAACTAGCTACGAAACACCCAAAGGAGGAGGAGGAGGATGTGCATTTCGTGGGGACTGTGTTTACAGTGGAAGAGCTACAGAACAAGGTGTGATGGAGATCCTTGACAAAGTGACCTCTGGTGTCCCCTTGCCTCTCACTGGGCCCTCGTGAGCTTACCTGATTTAGGCCTAGCCGACCACAGGCAGTGCCCTGGGGATAGAGGGGATATGATGTCCTCTTGCCATTGGGCAGCTTCTGGCCAGTCGTCAAGGATTGCCCCATGTTGAATGCATTGCAGTAATCTATCCAGGAGTTTATTACAGCATAGATCAGGCTTCCTCAAACTCGGCCCTCCAGATGTTTTGAGACTGCAATTCCCATCATCTCTGACCACTGGTCCTGCTAGCTAGGTGTGATGGGACTCGGGCTC